GGTTCACTACAGTATATCTTGTGTTTGTGCTCATTTGACATGTGATAAGTGAGTGTGAGTATAGTTTTGTGTTTGTTAATGTTTAGAACACACATTTCTGGGATTCCCTGTGTTACTTTTTAACATGTAAAGAGCATTACCAAGTCAAACATTCAAAGACAAGAATGTATGTATTTTTCACTAAAGATCTGTAGTTTTACAGTACATCTGATTAGTCACCAACGTGTTATTCACAGTGGTGGAAAAAGTAGTAAAAGTATAAATTTTAGGTATCCATACTTTGCTTTTGTAGATTTTAAAATGAATACATTTACTTCACTACATTTGAGAGCAGATATCTGTACTTTCTACTTGACTACATTTTTGAACAGGTCTGAAAAGTAAAAGTACTTTTTACTATTGCTTAAAAAAAGCTGAGTGTTTATTCTTAATACATTTGTAATTTGAACAAACAAAAATATACAAATAAAAACAGCCAGAAAAAAATGACTTCAGTTGTTTCTACTGAACAAAATTCATCACAAATGTTGAAAATCACATTTGAACATTTTACAAATTACATTTTAAGTTTTACTTTTACTTTTCACTCTTTAAATACATGTTAAAGGTGCATTATGTAACTTTTTGGTTAGGAGCCTGTTTTCTATGGAGGTGTCATTGCTTTGCCTCAAGTTTCAAAATTCAAGTTTTATATAGCTCAAAAATACCTAGAAAAACAGGCGTTCTGATTGTGAGAGTGGGATCACCTGTAACTTGGTCTGGTTTGGTCTCCATGAAGACAGAAAGGTTTACATTCTAGACAAAGGAATAACATCTCCACGGGAAAAAAGCATCTGACAGACCAAGTTACACAATGCACCCCAAAGTAGATGATACTCTTATTTTTTTGTGTTCCGGTATCTGTACTTTTACTCAAGTAACAAAATGAAGGTTATATAGGCACTGTTTATTTATTTTTGACAGTGTAGAAACAGATTTACAGTACAAAACATGGCCCATTTAGTAAACAACAAGACAAAACTGAAGTGATCCACAGCTAAAAGTGCTTTGTATGTATAAATAAGATCATCCACTACAATCCCCAAGAGACATACAGTATAACGAAATTACACTACAGTCTACAAAACTCACACTATCCATGAATCATAAATTATTAGAATATATTATAATTTGGTTCAAAACGTGGATTTCAAAACAACTTCAAATTCCTGGTTTCTTTGGCAGTTGTGAAAAGGTTAAGGCAGTTTGACTTGAGTCTTTCATAAAGGTGCATTGTGTAACTTTTCTGGTAAAGGGACCACCAGTTACTTGTAACCATGTAGATGTTATTGCTTTACCCAAATATTCCGAAGTATGGCATTAAAGTTTTTAGTCTTTGGCGAACCCACTCACAATAAGAATGCATGTTTAAAGGTGTTTCTGAGCTATTAAAACACCCAGAATTGAATAAATGCATCTTACTATACATAAGTTTAACACCATATCGTGGAACATTGTGGAACCCCCAACCTGTAAAGTTATGCAATACACGTTTAAGGGCAGTGTTTTCATGCCTCTCTCCAGTGACTAGGTCAGGAATCAGAATACACTAGACGGTTTGCAAGAACCCCGGAAGTTGTAGACTGAAGAGCTGTGAAGTCATGACGTCAAACTTGTTGTGCCTTTCTGGGTCCCTTTTTTGGAACAGCACAACAGTAAACAAAGCGGTGGAGATGGATGTAGACGAAGACAGACATTCTGTGTTGGCAACGATTCTCAAGATCGAGGATTTAAAGCCGGAACAAAGAGAATATTTGGGGAATTTTATCAAGGGGAAAGATGTTATTGCCCTTCTTCCTTGGCGCATTACATACGTCACAATCCGTGTATCATTTGCTCATTTGTTCACCAAAAATAAGAAAACGAAAAAACTACAATTTTCTTCATTATTTGTCTACAAAACCAAAATGAAAAAATGGATAACAATTTATTTTTATTTATTTTTTTTCAGTTTTCAATTTTGTGTTTAAATGAAAAATGGAAAAAACGGATAACATGACTTAAACTACGATACCGGACTTTTGCGCCACATACGGACTGAACCTGGACTGAACCAGAACTGAACCAAGTTCGGGACCAGACCAGAACCAGACTGGGACTGAGACCAGGACTCAGACTGGGACCAGACAAGGATAGGACCAGGACTGAGACCAGGACCAGACCAAGACTGAGACCAGGACTGAGACAGAGACCAGTCCAGCACTGAAAACGGTCCTGGTTTAGTCCTGTTTTAGTCCTGTTTTAGTCCTGTTTTAGTCCTGGTTCAGTCCTGGTTCAGTCCATATGTGGCACAAATGTCCGGCATCACAGTTTAAATCACAGAAACGGGAAAAGGCAGTTATTTGTTTTTTCCATTATTCATTTAAACACAAAATCAAAAACTGAAAAAATGAATCGTTATCCGTTTTTTTCATTTTGGTTGGAGACAACAGTTTTTTTATTTTCTTATTTTTGGTTTTATATTGAAAAACGAATGAACAAATGATACACAGATTCACAACCAAATAGGTTAAAGTGGTTAAATTTTAAAAAGTATCCACCGACCGTCGAGCGAACGAATCCTAACGCTGCGAGGTCAGACGGTTTCCACGAAGTGAAACAGGCTGATGAATGGGGCTAGTGCTTTCAGTTCAATTGCTGCATTTTTAAAAAAAAAATCTTAAAGTCAGATTAAGGTAAAAACTATACCATAAATAAACATTTAATAAATATAAAGGTAAGAATATTTAAAACAACAAGAGTCAGGATCAAATCTGATGACATGAGGTCCAAGACACTATTGAAGTCAGTATGAACATTTCAAATGCACTTTTTAAGATTATTACTAAGGAAATCCAATTTTACTGAGTGCACAAAACTTTAAAAATACATCACAAATAAAGCTTACATTTGTGTAATTGTTTAAAAGCATGACTACTTCCTGAAAGACATTTGTGGTCACTCCGACATTTCGCTTTTATGTAGAGACAGTTTCTATGGTGATCATTTAGACATGTTTTTGTGATCAAAACGCTCCATTGGCTCCATTCCAGATGCCATTTTCTATTTTGATTTCAATCACCTCGAAACAGGCTTGGACCAGTGAAAGATTACACCGTCCCTTTAGCTTTTACATGTAGTTCTAGCTTTCCTGGGTAACACTTAATGCTGCACTGGGCGACTTTTCTGGTGGAGGTTTCCGCTACTTGCTTGTCTGGATGGTGATGTTATTGCTTTGTCCAAAATGTTCCCTGGTATGATATTAAACATACCCATCTGCATTTATTCATTACGTATGTTTATAGCTCAAAAATACAATAATTCCTTCTGTGAAAAGGGGTGCCTCTCCACAGATCTGACTTGTAATGTAGCGTAATGCTGTAACCTGCATGTCTCTCTGTGATAGACAGGTTTAATGTATGCTATGGAACATTCTAGACAAAGCAGTAATGTTTCCGCACCAACTACAATTTAATTATTCTTTGCAAGGTATGAAGAAAGTCATAATGAACCATTTTTTTTAAGATTCAGGATTAGTAATTACTTAATTAATACCCTAAAATCCTTTAATTAATAACTAAGCCTCAGTCATTCTTAACTAATTAAAGAGCTGTTAAATTAAAGAGCTGATCTGTGTTATAATGTTTTCTCATTAAAAACAGACCTGGAGTTGTGTTTCGTTTTATTCATTTAAGACACAAATCCTCCATATTTAAGCTGAGCTCTTCTCTCAAACAGAAAACACTCTGTTCCTCCTTGTGATGTCATGTCATAATACAGGAAGTGCTCCACTATGTTTTTAAACTCCTTACACCTGCACTAGAATCATTTGGATGATTTCAGTCCTGGAATTGCTGATCGCTACTGAACTAAACTGCCCTACAAAGGCAAAAGAGCCTAACTCGCCAGAGTGTAAAACTGAGAAAAATTACTTCAAAGTTTCTGTTTTGTCCAGACAAAAGTATAATAGGTCAGGCTCCCAAAATTTGATAACTAGTTGCTATAATGAAGAAATATTTGTATGCGAGAAATACTGAGCTCAGGATTAACCTTTGGCTGTTATTTGTCAGTTCCTCTACTCTGCCTTTGTATCATGAGCCAAAAATAAGGAGCGGTGTAAAGGCAAAAGGCAGTAACTGACACTGTTACTGCCTTTTGCTTGACATGATATAAAGGTAGAGTTTTACAATATATAAAACAAGGAGGTCTCAAATACCCTCAAAATGACATATTTGACCAAACATGATGATACTGCCTTCTGCATTTGTAGGGCAGTAAATGTAAAAGGTAGACAGGCTGGTGCCACCTAATGCCTACCCTCAATTTCATTTCTCTCCAGCAACTAGGTCAGGAATCAGAATACACTAGAGTTTGCAAGAACCCTGGAAGTGCGAGTCTGGGCACCAGCCAATCAGCAAAGAGCCATACATTCTGTGTTGGCAACGATTCCCGAGATCGAGGATTTAAAGCTGGAACAAACAGAATGTTTGGTGAATTTTATCAAGGGGAAAGACGTTATTGTCCTTCTTCCTATGGGATTTGGGAAAAGCTTAATATACCAGTTAGCCCTGTTAGCAGCTCAATACATAGGTCATGACCAAATAGCAGTGATTGGTTAAATTATAAAAAGTATCTGCCTACCATCGAGCGAGCAAATCCTAATGCTGCGAGGTAACGAAGTGAAACCAGCTGATGAATCAGACTAGGTAAAAGGAGCTGTTAACTTGAAAACTACAGTTTTGTGACATCACAAGGTGACACAGAGCATTTAGAGCTTTGGAGATGTAGACAGACTGTTAATAAAAGGTTCTTCAAACATGTGAAAACTTAACTCCAGTATGTTTTTGAGCATTCTGTCATGGCTTAAAGCTTATTAGAGTGCATTTTGAGCAATATAGGACCTTTAATCAACTACTTAACTGCTTGTTTATACTTTATTAACTCTAATTAAGGCGTAGTTATCATGAAGTGGTCCCATTTATTCAGTACATATCGCACACTCGAACTGCCCATTCACTTTCTATGGTCGGTCTCGAGGCACCCAGGTGAAACTGCATCTCCCTTGGGCGTCTCTCCTCACGAAGGCTTGACCGTGTGCGAAACTGTGCGTCTTGAGGCTGTAGTTGGGACTCAGAGACATGCTAAACGCCAGATCCGGCCCACTGTTCGGAAACCTTATTGGACTTGGGACATTTCCGGCATTTTGATCGGACTCTTTTGGAGTCGAGCAGGGAATGGCCGAGAAGTTCAGTCGCTCCGTCGGACTGTAACTGATTGTCGTCTGGAAATGTGAAGACCACTGACTAACTTCTGGTTGGGCTTTTTCCGTCGTAAGAGATCTGTTTGGTGACTGTCCATTTGAGGAATAACGAGTTGAATTGTAATTTTTGGTAGTTGGGAAATCTGTACTTACATTTTCAAAACCGATATCATTTGTATTTTGGTTTTCGCTGGTAGTATTGTCTTCTATCGGTGAAAGGTACTGATCAGTGGTAGTATTATTATGTTCTGGTTCTGTGTCTATAGTATCTTTGTCCTTTAGGCCCAACATTTTAAGGACCCATAAATCCAGACTGGTTTCAGATGGTTCAGATTCAGAGCAGAACTCGGCGGTGAGATTTCGACAGAGTCGCTTGGAAATGGGTGGAGTGAAGGATGACAAGTTTCTCTTCCTCTTCCCATCGAAACACAGCTTCTACAAAAGAAACGGAAATACATCGTTCACTTTTTATGATACTTTTTCAAAATCATCTTCTGCTTTTGGAGTTCCTTTCAAATAAGATGGGTTTCAGTTCCTAAGTGATGGAAAACTAGGACCATTGCCATTTAACTTTACAAAACTGAATATCTTCTAAACAGCCAAAAGTCCTCAAAATGGCGCCCATACACAGGAAATTACATTTATTCAATTACAGGTGGTTTTATAGCTAAAAAATTTGTGTTGTAATCAAGACAAGACCAAGACCTCTGAGAGTCAAGACCGAGACCGAGACAAGACCAAGACTTTTAAAGGTCGAGACTGAGACAAGACCAAGACCATGGCCTATCGAGACCATATCAAGACCGTCTTTGTAATTTTTGATATTTATTTGTATTTTAGAGTTATTTTGGCACATCTATATCGATGTTTCTATAAATTCATCTCCATTTTATCTGATTAATGTCATCCAAACTGGAGTTACATTATCTTAATGGTTTTTGCAATGATATGCGTGTGGGTTTGTGATGTGCCGCACAGTGTCTGCTGACTCCAGACGAGAACACAGACTACAGTGAGATGCCCCAATCCCACCGGTACAAGACGAACACCATCAAAAAAAAAAAAAAAAAAAAACGGTCTTGAGTACTACGACACTACCAAAAATACTTTGAAAAACAGGCATTCTGACTGTGTGCAGAGTCACCTCTCCTCAGATCTGACCTGTAACTTGGTCTGGTTTGGTCTACATGATGATTAAAAGGTTTAATACCATACAGTGAAACATTCCAGACAAAGCAATAACAATCTCCATGGAGAAAAGCATTTGATGGATTCTCCACCTGAAAAGTTACACAATGCACCTGGCCATCTTTAACAACTGAAACTTATATTGGCAAAGAATGTAATAACATCACATATTTATTTGAAAATTATGTTTTTGAAGGAATATCTGACAACAGTAATGTGTGTTTATTCAAAGAGTTCATGACACCACAAAAATCTGTTCACAGAAGTTTCACTATTTCGAAACTAACCACAAAACACCACTATTAAAAGGTGCATTATGTAACTTTTTGGTAGGGAGTCTGTCACCTGCTTACTTCTTGTTTAATGTCATAATGTTCCATAGTATGAGATTAAACAGTTCTACCTTACATCTTATCAGTGACAAGGCATTCTTAAAGTGAGTTGAGTCACATCTCCACATATCTGACCTGTAACTTGGTCTGGTCTCCAGACTGCAAAACACTCTAGACAAAGCAATAACATCTCCATGTAGAAAAGCATTTGAAGAACCCTCTACTAGAAAAGTTACACAATGAACCTTTAAAGTTGTTGTTGTTGTTGTTGTGGCTTGTGACTGTGTCCACACTCACCTTGGCCTTCTCCTCCAGGTCTTTTACAAACGATGAGTTCAAGAACTGTCGGAGTTTTTGGTTTTCTTCCTGGAGTCGGGCCAGTTCCTCTTCACGCTGTAGAAGTGTGTCGTGCAGCTGAAAACACCACAAACACTTTTTATTGTTATTGTCAGACAGAGGTGGGACCAAGTCATTGTTTTGCAAGTCTGAAGTCTTTGACCTCAAGTCCGAGTCAAGTCCCAAATAAAAGACAGGAAAGTCCAAGTCAAGTCTTGAGTCATCTGCTTTGAGCTTCTAGTCACTTCAAGTCTTTAAACCAAAAAAGTACCAAATATAGCGTAGATTTTAGCAATTTATATGAATTTTAAACTAACTTGTACTTAAAAAGTCATGGTATATTTATAGTAGTGCTGTCATGCGATTAAAAAAATTGAGAGATTAATTAATTATGATCTGTAATTAATTAATCTAATTAATCTCATTTTAATCTCACCTAAAAATTGCTGAGAAAAGCCTTCAATTTGAGGTATTTTCATTTAAATTCATTATTACATTATTGTGGCAGATCAAAAGACTGATATAGATTTAAAAAAGTGACTTTATAAAGTCATTTATTGTTTAACAAATCTCTCCAAATTGGCTGTTGAGCCCAAGTCTCTATGAATAAGAAACTGTTTGCTGTAAAGTAGCAAAGACGAGGAAATCTGAACATAATAACTTTTGTCTACTTAAAGACAATAAAAAGTCCAGTCTTTCCTTAACCAGATTAAAAATATTATTGATAGAGAAATGCTTTATATATGAGATCACTGGTTTTAGTCCTGGTTTAGACCTACTTTAGTCCTGGAATGGATTAATCCTGGTTTTAGTCCTGGTGTTAGTTCTGGTTTAGTCCTGATTTAGACCTGGTTTAGTCCTGGTGTTAGTCCTGGTTTAGTCCTGGTTTAGTCCTGGTTTAGTCCTGGTTTAGTCCTGGTTTAGTCCTGGTTTAGACCTGGTTTAGACCTGGTTTAGTCCTGGTTTAGACCTGGTTTTAGTTCTGGTTTTAGTTCTGGTTTAGTCCTGGTTTAGACCTGGTTTAGACCTGGTTTTAGTTCTGGTTTAGTTCTGGTTTAGTCCTGGTTTAGTCCTGGTTTAGTCCTGGTTTAGACCTGGTTTAGACCTGGTTTTAGTTCTGGTTTTAGTTCTGGTTTTAGTCCTGGTTTAGTCCTGGTTTTAGTCTTGGTGTTAGTTCTGGTTTAGAGGCGCACAGGAGGAAGCGCGGTTTGCGCCGCGTACGCGAGAAAACACGATCCACACGCGGCTCACGGGAGGACAGCGACGTCCGCGCAGTGTCTACGGAAGGAAACGTGGTCCGCGCGTTCTCAGGGTAATGACGATGATGAAGGTGTGTGTTTGTGTTTGTGTGCGTGTCCCCTCATGTGGCAGGTCACTATAGGACAGTAGTGCAGACATCATGAGCCTATGCAGGTTGTTTTCAGGCGATATTATATTTGTTATTTTCTTTTATATTTCACGTCGGGAGAATAATTTCCAAGACACGAATGTGTTTTTACCTGTGCACTGCTGGTTCTGTTCTACTGGCTCTACGACCTCGTCCACTGTGCGACTGATGCCGCCAACGTTAACATGACGTTTACATCGCTCTTACTGCGCGCGTTTTGTGTGGGTTTCCGGCAATGAGTGGAATTACCAAAATAAAAATGTTTATAAATGTGTTTTTTGTATGTGTGTTGTTGTCCCAACAACACATAAAAACAGGTTTTATAATAAAGAAACTCACATACAGAAACACTAAAGTTAGAGATTAAAAATGAGATTAACGCGATTAAAAAACATAATGCGCTAAATATGGCTGTAATTAATTAATCGCAATTAACGCGATAATTTGACACCCCTAATTTATAGATGAGTATTTATACAAGAGTTGTAGAAATGCTCGGTTTTCCTTTTAAAATGTCTTGACAGAATCTTAGTGTGAATTATCACCATCAGAATAGAAAGAATTTAGATTTAAAAGTGCTTAATAACATTTATTTTGTTGTGTGTCTGAAATGGAAGGATCATATTCTATGTAGTTCCCTCTTTTTTACTGTGTTGTACTGTATAATACTGTATTTTATTGTATATACCATATTGTATTCTATATTACTGTATTGTACTGTATTGTACTGTATTGTACTGTATTGTACTGTATTGTACTGTATTGTACTGTATTGTACTGTAGTACATTTGAGGATACCATCTCACAGTACTTCAGTTACAACCAAAGTAACAAACAGAACTGGGGGGGCATGTTCCAGTGTGTTCCAGTAAAATTAAGCGCCACATTTATCAACTGTAAAGAGAGAAGTATTTTCTATAAACATCTTTTTTAGGAGAAGCATCAAGTCTTCTCAAGTCACAGACCTCAAGTCCGAATCAACTCCCAAGTCACTGATCCTCAAGTCCAAGTCGAGTCCCAAGTCTTGTCCATTTCAAGTCTCAAGTCCTAAAAATAGTGACTCAAGTCCAAGTCACGACTTGCAAGTCCCCAGCTCTGTTGCCAGCATTAATGTAGGGTCAGTGTGAGTGACTTTACTCTCAGATTTACATGAATTTAAAACTCCTATATTACGCAACATATGACTCCTGTGAGATTTAAGACATGTTTTAATGCTGTTCCCTCCTCCAAAACAGACCTGGAACTATGTTTTGTTTCATTCACACGTTTGAGTAATCCTTTATCACTGGTCTCTCTACATCTCCAATGCTCAGAATGTTCTGTCTCACCTTGTGATGTCATAAAGTGGTAGTTTTCATGTTAACAGCTCCTTTTTTCTTTAGTTCAATACAGATTGGTAATTCCAGTGCTGAAGATTTCCATGTGATTCTAATGAAAGTGTGCAGAGTTTAAAATCACAATGGTGTATTTCCTGTATTACGAAAAGACATCACAAGGTGGAACAGAGTGGAGGAACTCAGCCTAAATAAGATGGGTTTGTGTGTTTAACATGTGTGAATGAAACAAAACACAACTCATCACAAAACACAAACACAAGGTCTGTTTGTGATGAGGAAACTACATTATAACGTAGATTAGAAAATAGTATAATATGGGCCATTTACCGTCTTTTCTTACCTGTTTGTTTCTCTGTAGATGAGGAGACAGCTCTGTCCACATCGCACAGGACACTGAAGGGGCACTGCTCTCAACATAGCGGGTTTCTGAAAAGACAAACAAGCATTACATTAAAAATGAGTTCACAAATCAGATTTGGAATGTGAAAGAAAAGACAGTAATGTATGAAAAACAATCTTCTGTATGCAACTGCAAGATTTTGACCTTGCTCTAAGGGCCCATATTATGCTATTTTCTGATCCAGGGACTAAAACAGGATTAAACCAGGACCAGGACTAAACCAGGACTAAATCAGGTCTAACCGAGGACTAAACCATGACCTGAAACTAGACTCTAAAGCAGATCTAAACCAAATCTAAACCAGGTCTAAACAAGAACTAAACCATGACCTAAAACTAGACTCTAAACCAGGTCTAAACCAGGTCTAAACCAGGACTAAACCAGGTCTAACCCAGGACTAAACCAGGACTAAGCCAGATCTAACCCAGGACTAAACCAGGTCTAAACCAGAACTAAACCAGAACTAAGCCATGACCTGAAAGTAGACTCTAAGGCAGGTATAAACCAGATCTAAACCAGGACTAAACCAGGTCTAACTCAGGTCTCACCCAGGTCTAATCCAGGACTAAACCCGGTCTAAACCCAAACTAAACCATGACCTGAAACTAAACTCTAAACCAGATCTAAAGCAGGTCTAAACCAAAATAAACACTTTTAATGTCTGTTCCCAGTTGCATTTTGGACTATTCCGTTTCGGCTGTTGTGGCAGCCGCTGTGGATGATTCATGTTATAACGCTGATGTTTCCTCATCACATTTCCTCTTGAGAATACAGAGCGCAGGGTCACTTCACACCTCACACCTCACACAGATTCAATGTAAAAGTGCTTTTCTCCACAGGGACAGTGTCTGATCTGTCCCACGGGAAACACTGACGAATCTGGACATCCGAGATCAATCACAGGAGACATGTTTAAAGTCTGCTTTGAATGGGTTGGAAGGACAGTGACAGGGGAGGTGACGGACATTGATTACCTGGTACCATGACGGGAGGGGGAGGGAGGGGTTTGTCCTTGAGGATTATGTGTAAGAAAAAGAAAAATGGACACTAAAGATGAGCGGCTTTGAGTGAGGTTACAATGGATGGTTTTGGTTTTGCTGTTAAATGACAGAGCTGTTGTCAGAAGCGGAAGGAGAGCTTGGAAAGTAATCGCTATGGACACAGGAAGCATGTAAGGGCAAGTAGAGGTCTGTCAAAACATTTCATTTTGATTTAGTAAACTGTTTACAATATCATTTATTTATTTATTTATCCATTCATTTCTTCTGGAGGCGCGTCTTTCATAAATCTAAGACAAATAATTACACAAATGTTAAAACTTTTGTGTCAGCTGTAAATTCATATTTACATTTTGGAGAATAGTATCAAAGGGGAAAACTATTGCTGGATTGCAGATGACACAACATTCTATGGGCCAGTGTTAAAATGCAATTTTGTTGTGATGCAGAGTTCTACGCAAAGGTTGTATTTATGTATTTATTTCGGGCAAGTAGATATTTACATTCTTATACAATGGACCACATAACATAAGGGAAATCATAATAGAAATGAAAATAACCACAACTAAAATTGCCCAAAAAGAAGTGGGAAGAAGAAAATGTATTTAATCCCACAAAAGGTTGGAGGATGTGCATGTGTGTGCATGGTGTGTGTGTGTGTGTGTGTGTGTGTGTGTGTGTGTGTGCATGGGTGCGTGTGTGTGTGTGTATGTGTGTGTGTGGGTGTGCGTCTGTGCATGTGCGTGTGTGTGCATGGGTGTGCATGGGTGTGTGTGTGCATGTGTGTGTGTGAGGCTTAATACAGCTCTGTGCAGCTATAGTATCTTACCACCTCTGAGAGTGAAGTGAATGAATAATGACACAGAGTAACAATTTGACAAGCATGTAAAGCACATTAACACATTATTGTTATTATCATTATTATTATTAGAAATACTTGCATGTTTTAGTGAATTTACTTTTTAGATAGCGTATTTCATAATGGGGGTGGGGGAAAATGTCTCTTGCCCCAGTTTGGAGATGATGTTATAGAGTCCAGAGCACTAAGAGTTGGACATAAACTTAAGAACAAAACAGGATGTGTTTGCATTCAGTGACCTCTAGTGGATGTAGATGAGACTGCAGCCTGTGAATATAGCGTGTGTGGGCAAAGGGAATGGACTCAAACTAATGCAGATTTGGAAAGACTTCATAAAAAAATAAGGACTTGGTCAAATATTGTGTCACCCATTCAAAGTCCATCACTAAAAGCGCTTGCTTTAAACTCACCCCAAAGTGAGGACGCCTCATGCCGACTCTGACCCAGGTCACAGGGGACATGGGACCAAAATGAGGCCAGCGTTTCCATGAAGACGACAACGGGAGCAAAGCCAAAAAGTCTCTAAAATCTGTAGAACAAAGTGTTACGTTTTCATGTTATAATACAACTACATAAAAGTAGAATAATAGAGTCTAAATGCATGGATCTCTGTGGCTGAGGGCGGTGGAGTTTCAACCTGATGGCACGAAAGCGAAATAACCTAAAATGTTGCAGTTTCCAAGTATGTTACTGGCTATTTTAATTTCATTTTTATTTTTATAACATATCTTACTTTGCCTTGTTTCCAATCTTATTCCTTATTCCTGGTTGCAAGAACTCCAAGTGAACACCAACTGATCTGTAGACCTACATCAAAATCAAGTGCATGAAAAGTAACCTACAATTTTGCAAATGGTAGGGTGACCAGACATCTATTTACCCAGGACAGTCCCAGTGTTGAGGCCTGTGTCCCCTGTCCAAGCAAATTTATCCAAAACCAGTGATTTGTCCCAGTTTTATACAAGAACTGTCCCAGGTGTCCCTATTTTTGACCAATTTGATCTAAACCAGGACTAAACTAAGACTAAACCAGGACTACATCAAGACTAAACCAGGACTAAATCGGGACTATCACAATTTTTGACTAGTCTGGTCTCTGCCAATAGGAAAGAGGAGTATAAATTGTAATTTGCTTAGGTGAAATACAGAAAAGCTGCTTAAAAACTACCAAAACACAGAGAAAATGTGATTATACTGACACGTTAGTTGTGAATAAAATCATGAATAGGCCGAGTGCAGAACAATTCTCCTTAACTACGCGCTCGTTTCACAATTTTATTATTACCAACCAACCAAAACCGAGGTCATCTGGTCACCTTGGCAAAAAGCTTACAAGAATAAACCATTCATTTCAGTGCACAAATGAAAGTACGTATTTCTTTAAGGTCAAGTTAAGTTTCTTTGCCAACAACAGAATGCATAGGCCTACATGATATATTTACTTTAGCTGCATATAATCAGACAGGGTTATTACGTGTTTATAAAGCGCTCATACATATATTTTATTACATTTCAGAGTTAAACTGTAAAGTGTCAGTGATGCAAAACTCACCTGCGCTCAGCCTCTGCGTCTCTCTGCGTCTCTGCTCCGTGTGCGACTGTGCGTCTTTGCGTCTGTGCGTCAGAGCTCCTCCACGCTCCACGCGCGTGCTGCTCTCTAGAGTCGCGTGCGGCTCTGGGTGAAGTGAGCCGTCGCGCGCACAGGTGAGAGGGCTTGTGTGCGTGGGCACCGTCCAATCAGAAGCGAAGGGCGGGGTTTGGGGAGCCCCTGTTATTAGTGCGTAAATGGGTGAGGAGGACGCACATTCTGGGGGCGCTTGGTTAAATATTCTAGGGTGCCTTTTCTCCAGGGGTGGAAGAAGTACTCAGTTTTGTTACTTAAGTAAAAGTACAGATATCAGACCAAAGAAAAACTCAATTACATTTGTTTTCAAGATGTGTCGTCCAGGTAAAAGTAAAAATATCCAAGTAAAAGTAAAAATATTGCATCGAAAAAAATCTACTTAATAGTAAAAATATTAAAGTACTCATTTAAAATTGTTCTTCAAGAATAAATAGTAAAAGTATTCCACAGATGGTATTCCAGATTTTATGCTCTTGAAGCTGCAAATGTATTGATTTTGATTAAGTTTTTGTGCTGAATTTTGTTTTTGTTTTTGTATTTTTATATTTTTGTTTGCTAAAATTATAAAAGATAAACCCTCAGCTTTTTCAGCAGTACACAACAACAAATATATACTTTTCAGTCCAGTTAAAAATGTAGTATAAAGTACAGATACCTGCACTTAGGTGTAGTGAAGTAAAAGTAAACTAATGTACTTAAAGGTTGTATGGAGGATTTTTTTTGTTTCAAATTGTCAATGATAGCATTATAAAGGTGCAGTAGCCTTGTAATTATGATGACCAAAAAAAAGATAATAAAAATTCATCAACTCTGGACGTGGTGGAGCTAAACATTTGCCAATAGATAACCACATTGCCTCGTTATCTGTTAGCTGACAGGCTGTCAATCAAACTCCCTACGTTTCTAGCGTAACTGACCTGCCTGCGCGCTGCCGTTACGTGGTTTACGTACGCCTGTCACGCAGTCCACAGACGCAAGACGCACAGACGCTGTTTACTCCACCAACGCAACAGTTCTTAGCGGCTTTTTTTGAGCTATATCTTCCTCGCAGTTAGCACAAAGTTTGTTGCAATGGTGACAAGAATCCAGGAGCAGTTAGCCGCAAAAGAAAGTCAGTTTTTGAGGTCGCTGAAAGAAGAAGACAAGGGGAAAAGCAGCGAAGGCAAACTAAGGTGATTTTTGTAGATTCATTCCAGCGATGGTGCGACTGAAGCAGACGAAGGGTCTAAAGACTGACGCATTGGCGACCAATGCGTCAGTCTTTAGACCCTTCGCCAAATTACTTCTGGACAGGTCACTTCTGCTTATTATGAAAACGTACTTTATTTCCAAGAGCTAGTCAAACGTTTTTCAGGACACGAAAGCGATATCCTTTGTCTGAAAACGTAATTTTCAAGACAAAGAAAGAGTCTGCTTGCTGCTGCGTGTTGTAGCTAGTTCATTCGCACGGAATCTCCGCACACCCTTCTCTGCACCCCTTTCCTGCTCCTGTCCCCGCTGCCCGTTCCGCTCTTCCCCCTGCTCCTCACTTTTCCGGGCACGGAATCTCCGCGCACCGCTCCCCTCTCCTCTCTCCTTTCCTCTCTCCCTG